ATGAAACACTTGAAACATTTCGAGGCTTCGTTTGGCCATAGTCACGTGACATGGGTGTTTTGAATCACGCTTCGGATCAGTGTTTTGAAACATCTGCGCTTCGGGATCTCGCAAAGCTTCGGAATGACTGTTTCGTGTCAGCCATCCCTAGCAGGAGATAGCTAGCCTTGAGCAAGGCTTTGAGGTGGCAGGAAAGAACTTTACTTTAAAGATTGACTGCTTCATTTGTGATGCTCCTGCAAGATAGTTTATTAAAAACGTTAAGGGACACAATGGGTACTTTGGGTGTGAGCGCTGCAATCAAGAAGGAGTCTATGTTAAGAACCACATGACTTTCCCAGAGAAGACGGCTACACTCCGCACAGATGATCAGTTCTCTAGACAGGAGGATGGGGAACACCATAGGGGCAACTCTCCCCTTGCACGGATTAACATAGGCATGGTTACAATGTTCATTCTGGACTACATGCACCTAGTTTGCCTGGGAGTGACTCGAAAATTGATACGCTTTTGGATGAAGGGGGATTTTTCTTGTAGGTTGGGCTCGCATGCAGTGATGGCTATCTCTGTGAGATTGCAGCAGCTAAGGCAGCATATGCCAATTGAGTTTCAGAGAAAGCCAAGATTAGCAGACATTGACCGGTGGAAAGCCACTGAATTCCGCCAGTTCTTACTTTATACGGGCACAATTGTTTTACAATACATCCTTTCCTCTTCTCACTACAGAAATTTCATGAATCTCTCAATTGCCATGTACTTGATGCTTTGTCCTGCCTTGTGTAATTATTACTGTGACTACGCTGATGCTCTCATGAAACATTTCTTAAGCAAATTTGAGCAGTTGTATGGTGCTGATGAATTGTATAATGTGCGCACAGTTTGACTCATTTGGCTGATGATGTTAGGAGGTATGGAGCTTTAGATGGAGTGTCAGCTTTTCCATTCGAAAACTACATGAGGAAATTGAAAAAAGCTTCCCGGAAACCACAGTTTGTTCTTAAACAAATAATTAACCAAACTACACTTGAAAGGACATTTATTACATCAAAAAAAGCAAAGAAGACAGACAGCAAGACACCTTTGCTGAAAATGAGACACTCATGTGGTTCATCAATACCTAACCTGCCTCACTGCACCCAGTTTAAAAAGGCAATCTTTCAACAGTTCTGCGTTGCCACAACTACATACTTTGTCCATATAGTGTATCTACTAGGGCTGAAGCATGTCTACACTGCTCAATGACTAAACAAAACTTAAAACATTCCATAAAAGCAAAAACGGTAACAACTTAAAAGTTAACTTAGTTTTCTCAAACTCTTTTAAACACTTAGTAGTTAACAATTTGGTCTTAAGTGTTGGAATGTGCACCAAATAAAGTAATTTCTACGTTGAAATCATTCTAAATTATTACATTTTCAGATTTTTATGTAGAAACAAAAATTGATCGACATGCTCAGGGTTAAGAGAGTGACAGCAGAATATCTCGCTTGACTTCATCATACAACCGGGGAATTGCCGTTTCTGTTAAAAACTTTTATGCTTATTTAAGACATAACCAACTGTGTTTAGAGGATAATTACCAAAAAAAAAGAGCAGGATGTGCAGTATATTGAAAAGAAATATTAAAAGTGTGATAAGTCGGGAAAGAGAACAGAATTCTACTGGCAGGATGCTGTGCACATGCTCTGAGCGCAACACAGACAAGCATAGCCTTTGTCTTCGGTTGTGCACCTAAATGGCCAAATAAACATAAAAATATATCAAAATGCCAAGTCGAGTATTCACGTAAACACAGTAGATGTAAGTACTGTGTGCATTTTCTCTCTCTCTCTCTCACATGCAGACAGAGGATTTATGCTCATCAAACACAGTTACAGTGAAAGCCCTTCGCATCTAATACGTATTGAAACTTTATTGTTTGCTGAATATTTGTTTGTTTTTAGTTGTCTATCTATGGACCTAATAATTAGCTGTTGTTGAAATTTTATTGAAAAATCCCTTTTTAATTTGTGTATGTTCCTTCCTGTTAGACTGCCTATCTAGGAACCATTGGTGGGTGTAATGTCCAGGTAGCAACTAGGAGAATATTGACAACATTGATTGGCCATTCTTTAGCTACTCAATTGAACTGGAATGGCTCAAACCAAAAGAGACCTTTTCAGAAACTGAGGCTAAGGAGGGTTGTAACAGGTAAGCATGTGGTATTAGAAATGGCATATATTAATTACTTCCCATACACAGTGTTGTTTCATGCCTATTTGCTTTTCAATGATTCAATGAATGATTAGCACACCAAACATATATTTTTTTTCCAGCAAATGTATTTTTATGTTTATTTGAATTATTTTTATATTTGTATAGAGGATTTTTAGTCCCTTTCAGAGTGTTAAATTAGCTTTAAAGCTAATAATTATTAACCTGTATTAACCTGAATTGAATGTTTTATATTTTGTAAATAATAAATACATTGATTTGAAATCCCTTTGACTACTGTATATTTTTAAAAATACAGATATTAGTTATGTGGTGACTGCATTCATTTCAGATGTATAGAATAATTGTTTTTCCCAAAGACTTATAGTTATAGTAGCCAAAAAGTATTTATAGTGAAACAGATTAATTGTGAACAAGATCTATTGTTGTAGATTAATAGTGCCCTGTGTGGGCGCTTTGCCAATGAGCAAATTGGGCCTGCTGGGCAGTGCAGGCTTGTTTGCAGGGTTATTACCTTCTCATCTATCCAATCGTGTCTAATACTTGCGGTATAAAAGACCAGTACTTACACATGTTTGAGTTTGCAGATGCTGACGCTTTCATTCATGCTCTCGTTCAGTCGCCAGCCAACATGTTTCAGGACAGTATATTGTTTACTATTATTGAGTTCCGACGATGGATATGTCCCGCCGTATCTCCTGCTACACGTCAAGGTTCCCGCGTTCAGTGCCGCATCTCCCCGTATGCACAGTGGTCTTCGGGGAGTTTTTGATCAGCCAAGGCCTCTCATGAGAAGTTCTGCTCCTCTAGGCCTAAAACACCCTGGATAACCAATCAGTTTCCATTTTCACGTCATCAAAAGCCTCAACAGCGTCAGCTCAGCCAGGATAATCCGGCAGGAAGAGAACTATGTCATCCTCAACAACTTGTCCAGCAAAAGAACCTCGCCGTCTGCACGGGTGCATTATCCCGCAGATCACCGATCCACCGAAACGAATCAACAACTCCGCAAGTCACGAGAGGCGATCTTCTCTCGCTGGTTCAAGTTCAAGCTCCACTTCCAAGGCTTTCAAGTCAGTTTTTCAAGTTTTGGTAGGCGCTTCCACCAGCCACTGTTAATATGTCCCCTCTATCATGATTAAACTTCATCCAGGTAAGCTGTTAATATGTCCCCTCTATCATGATTAAACTTCATCCAGGTAAGCTGTTAATATGTCCCCTCTATCATGATTAAACTTCATCCAGGTAAGTATTTCTCCGTTGCTTCCTACACCAGCGGCAGAGTTCAAATTGGAGTCCACGGTGACGTGGCGTACGTGTTCATAATTACTAATAATCTGCAGACTGCAATTAGGATAACATGACACGTAAATACTCCAGCGCGAGTACTTGGTTGACCTCTCAGGTGGCTGTATTTCACCCGCTGACACCTATCAAACAAGAAGACGCAGCCCGGGCCGCGCAGCTCCGCTGAGAAGAACGTCGTCTGAGCGAGAGAGTGAAACACTCTGTAGGTTTAAGATCTTTCCAGTTCTTCAGGAAAGCTTCATTTTGAAACCAGATAAACTTCACATGCTTGTCTTTTGAATTTTTAAATACTGAAGGAAGTGAACAGAATGCTAACATAAATATGCAGTACCAGTCAAAGGTTTGGAAACATTACTATTTTGTTTCTGAAATAAGTCTCTTCTGTTCATCAAGCCTGCATTTTTTTTAAATAAAAAATACAGTAAAACAGTAATATTAAGAAATATTATAACAATTTAAAATAATAGTTTTCTATTTTAATATTCAAAATGCTTTTTATTTCTGTGATGTGTATATGTGTATATATATATATATATATATATATATATATATATATTCACCACAAATACAACTATGAATACTTCTGTTTTCTGCATGCACGACTTGACATTTCTATGCACAATACGGGACTTTTATTTTTATATGACTGACGACGTGACGTCACAAGGCTGCGCCGCGCTCCGTCTGTTATGCATAGCTGTTATGAAACGGTTAAAGAAAGGTTTGTGTTTTTAGCATTTTAATCGTTCAGGCAATTGTTGTGGTTTTTAAAACGAATTCAACACTGTTGAAAGTAACATTGCAATACTGCATCTAACATACATGAACGTTATTTTGTGTGAGTAAATCGCATCCACACATGATTATCAGAAAAGGTGCGTCTCATTTCACTCCCAATATCGTGAATCAGTTTATCATAAACAATGATGAGAGAAGCGGAGCTTTTCTAGACTCGAAATCTAATACTTTCCCGACCTATTATGCAAAAAAAAGAGTAGTATGTCCGAATGTCATTCATGCTACCCATATCCATACTGTAGAACGTACTTTTTAAAGGTCGCGAAGTAAATTGTAGAATGCATTGCCTCCGACAGTGTGGGATTTCGGAACCAAATGATTCAGTGATTCAAAGCGCTTGAATCATCGCGCGCTGTCGAGACAAGCTGATCAAATCAGTGTACATGCAACGAGAACAAACTAACATGTGTCATGGTAACTTTTGTGAAACAACTGCTAATGGGTTCATGAAAGTGCAGTCTATTAAATATAATCTACAAATGATTGAATAGTAAATAAACATCATAAAAGCATTTAATGTCTTTAGTATAATTTATGTTCTTGTGTTAATATGGAGATTTAAGTCCATTAACTCTCTCTCTCTGACTGACTCTTACCAGTGCACTGAACTACTGAACTAGAGCTGATAGAGCAAACCCAGAGATTTATTTGATTTATTTTTCTTTGTTAATTATTCTCTTCTTAAACACACAGAAAAACTCCTGGTGAAGCGACTGAGATCCACGAGACACTATTATAAAGATGGCGTTTATTAAAGAGGAGAGTGAAGACATGAAGATTGATGAAACATTCAGAGTGAAACATGAAGAAACTGAGGAACAAACAGGTTGGCTTCATTCTCAAAGCTGAATTCAGTCATTTGATCCTTATTAAAATAACCAGCTCTACAGAAATTAATGATATTTTTGGATTTGCTCTATCAGCTCTGCATTGTCTTGCCAATTTATACATTCAAACAATTTTAATCACGGAGGAAGAGCCGAAAATCGGGACTCCAGCATTATCTGTGCGCACAGCCACAGTTTGAGACAGCACTCGAAAACAGAATTGATTCCTCTTTTGCGTTTACTTGCCGTTGAAGGGACACAAACACAAAATTGTCAAAATACCCATCTAAATTGCCATCTTGACAAGTATTTTCTCAGTTATGTCATAAGAGAACATGAGAAAGAAAGAAATGGATGTTTGTTAGTTTTTTTGGGTCCGTGCAGTCAGTCTTAAAGTGACAGCACACACCTCATATTTTTTTATATATATGTATATAACATCACTGTTAGATAAAATTATATATATATATAGTGGTGTCCGTGTCATTAATATTAATAAAACAACGAAATACATCTTAAACAAAGATGAAACTATATTTATACAGTGAACACATAGTGTTAATTTACATTTAGGTTTAATTAATTTCTGTACCTGAACATTACTGTTAGAGTTTGTAACTTTGTTATTTAGTATTCATCTCTGCTTGTAATTTGTACTTATTTTATTACTGACTGTTCACTTGTTTTAAATAATATCAGTTAAGTATAAGTTATTGTCAAAACATGTGGTAGCCTAAATAAACCATTTCATTACATTTAGTGACTGCATATTATGGTGCAATGACTGGTAGGCTATTGCTTTTATTATTTCTTTGATACAAATTTTAAAATTTCAATTCAATTATTTTCTTGTATCATATTTGTTATTGAAGTTTTTTGTCGCGAAATATTGTAGATGGTGAAAAAACGTTATCTTTAATCATTTTGCATAGCTGTATGTTATGCTACTATCTAAGCTAACTAAAAAAACACTAAGAACCAGAAATGTTTAATTTGACAATCTATAGCTTCGGTTATATACTAGTATATGAAACATAAAGTTAAAAGACATTATTTATAACGTAGTTCAAACGACTTGAAATCTGATATCTGATGAGTAACCAGGCACTAAAGCGATTACCCATAAAACGTGCTTTGAACCAATCGGATTGCTTGGGTCCTAAGCTGGGACTTGTCTCTTTACAGACGACAGTATCAGGCCAACATATGCTCCAATTTGACATGACCCTAACTTGTTTGTGACAGTATTAGGCATCCTGAGTAATTTAGGAGACTATAATATGGTCTGGGATATATATATATATATATATATATATATATATATATATATATATATATATATATATGCTGATATTGCTCATATATGAGCAATATCGGCCGTAAGGAATCACAGCGTGCTTATATACAGCCATATCGCACGGCTACGAGTGTGATATTGCGTTTATACAACAGTTCGACGACACACGTGAGTAAATAAATAAGAAACAAAAACATAGTGTCCTTAAAAACCCTCTTTTGTGCAGAACTACTTCCTTCTGCCAATGATTCAATCTCAAGTTGACAGTTGAGCTGAACCCTCCGTTACTAATTCCAAAATGTCACTTTAAACTAGTAACGAAGGAACGTTGAGTCGCTTCATTGAAGCTTTTTGTATTATGTAGACAGAGTATGGTATTATGAGAGGGAGATCGACTGAACGAGTGTATTGCCTGCATTTGATATAGCATTTATTCTTCAGGTCAATGTCCATAATATTATATCCATAAAATCAGTTTGAATGTCCGCTGAGGAAAGCGATATGTTCGTCTCTGTCATTCCCATGAACAACCAAAACAACTTCCTTGTTCTGACTCACTCATAAAGACTGAAGTCCATATCACAATCCTTTCTCCATAGCAAATATGGCATATTATTTATATAGAATAATAATTATTGAACAATTTTTAAATGAACCACAATAGCCATTATAAAAGATAATAGGAAATAAACACAAGCAAACAATTCAGTCAAACGTACAAACAGCACTCTAGTACAGGATTCAAGTGAAATATAGCCTAAATATAATTATGAAACTTAATTTTCCTCTTAACCAAAATCGATTTGCTCTGAAACAAGTAATAGATTAATAAGACCAAAGATCGCCCATTTGATATACCCCAAATTAATTATATCTCACGTTTAACCACTATCTACATAAGAGCCAGCGGCAAATTCCCGAAGGCCTGGCCGAGATGACGCTGTTCTCAGCGGGAACATGAGCGCTGAACGGCCAACGACGGAGCTGGAACCTGCGAAAGCGTCTCAACAGATCGTAAAATTAAGATTATACATATAGTAAGATTATACATTAGTCACATATTTGAGGTCTACATTCTCGCCTAAAAAAAACCCTCTTAAAACTACATTTCATGACACAACTATAGTAGTATTTTTACACCATATGGTGTATTTGCTCGACCGCCATGACAGGTGCCGCAAGCGGAGTGATACAAACGGTGAAACGGTTAGAGTGCTGTTACTGCGCAAATATCGGTACACCTGGAAAAGGCTCTCAGCCAAACAGTTTCGAGAACCAGAAAGAACTGTTGTAGATGTTTATATATACGCCACCTTTCTTTCTTTTCTTTTTTTTTTGTTTTCCCCAACAGGCCAATCACACCTAGATAGAATGATGCATACAATAAATTAATAAGGAAAATATTATACAAAATAATAAATCCGGAACATAGCAGATTCCAAAAAATCTAGGGCTTTGTGCAGCATAAGCATTGATGTAAATCTGACTCCACAAATTGCTGTCAGCACAACATCTGGGTTCTTAACTGGAAAAAACCTGGATAACAGAACTAGCATGTTTTTTTGTTTGTTCAATAATTAACTTCTGTTTTGGCAGAATTTAATACAAGAAAATTACTAGCCATCCTAGACGGCTGTATTTTCAACCATTACGCTAATCTTCAGTGTCACATGAACCTTCAGAAGTCATTCTAAAATAATTATCTGGTGCTCATCAATGTCTGGAGTCAAAGTGACCATTAAAATAGTCTTTAAACAAGTCAACACAATGTTTTTGTCTACCTTTGGGAATAAATGAACAACAACTCTACAGATTGGTTCAGACCGTGACTGACTCATCTGTTCCCTGGGGCCTCATGTATCAACACTGCGTACGCACAAAAACACAGCGTACGCCAGCTTTCACGTTCACGGCCAGATGTACTAACAGTGAAATTAACGTAAGAATGTGCGTTCCTCCAAGTAAACTTCATGTCTGGCGTACGTATATTTGTCGTGATTTTTGTCTGTTGGCGACTCATAGAGGCCATTGCACACTGAGTCCGAAATTCGCGTCCGAAATTTTCGCACGCTAAAAAATAAATACGACCTCACGTTATGTCAATCACGCTTGCACACCGCCTCCGAAACTTTCGTGCGTCAAAAAAAAAATCGAACCGGGTTCGATTTTCTGCGTTTTTCGCATCCGTTGCAAGCAGTTTGAATGGTGTTTTGACAATTCACAGCCTCCGAATCACGAATACGAAAGAACGCATACGAATATTTCGGACTCAGTGTGCAATGGCCTTTAGAGGCAATAAAGTGAAGTGGCAAACATTACACTACGAATTGTTCTATCGCACCACCAGCTGTCAGATATTGCTTATAATTTGTAATTGATAAATTATTTGACATATTATTGTCACACGAGTTTTATTAATATATCATATTATGCTATTAAGTAAGAACATATATAAACCATGTCCAAATTGATACAACCCGTCTAGCAATGGCAGTGTTGGCTTAACTAGGAATAGAAAATAAACTTCATTAATTCGGTCAGTAAAGATAAAAAAAGAAAGTAATATTTTTATTCAGCAAGGACACATTGAAGTGACAAGTAAAAGTGACAGTAAATGCATTTATAATGTTACAAAAGATTATAAGATTTCGACATCTGTTTGATTGAAGTTTTTATTCATTAAAGAATCCTGAAAATACTATATCATGGTTTCCACGAAAATATGAAGCAGAAGCACAGCTGTTTTCAACACTGATAATAATCATAACTGTTTCTTGATCATCAAATCATCATATTAGAATGATTTCTGAAGGATCATGTGACACTGAAGACTGGAGAAATGATGCTGAAAATTCAGCTTTGATCACAGGAATAAATTACACTTTACTATATATTCACATACAAGACATTTTCAGTGAAATTTAGTTTCTTCCTTGCTTTAGCCATGTTCTTGCAGGCTTCTTTTGCCAAATTGGACTAATTATCATATTTAAATTAATTGAATTGGGGTAGGAGACTGGGTGGGATGTAATTGGGATGTACAAAGAGAATATGCGTGGGATCCTTCGTACGCAGAGATTCATACATCTGCTTTTTTTTGTGCGTATGCACATTTACAGCTTTGTCCGTACGCAATGTTTTAGTATGAATTCAACACAAGTCTTTGTACATGAGGCCCCTGGTCTGTTTGTGTGTTCATGAACACAAATGTGCTCAGTTCTTCTTCAGAGGAGATCCCGGTTCCAACACTATATAAAAATATGAGAGAGAGGAGAAAGTTCCACATGTCAAATTATTTTTTTGACATTCATCATACTATTTTTATTATTATTTATATATATATAATGTGTGTGTGTATGTAAGCAACAACCTTTTTTCTAATACTTAGTTGAACTGTAAAGTAAATTATGCCAGATTCAATTTTAATACTTAATATCCTTTTAATATCATTAATTCTCTCCACCAATGCTGAGATTAATGGAGAGAAAGACTGCAATCAAGGATTTAACCAATTTCAGCTCATCAATGGCGGAGAGTCTTCAGCCTAAAAAAATCTAAATAATGCAAAAATAAAAACTTATGTTTAGAATGCTTGACTTGGAATAATTGAATGAATGATTCAGTGAGTTTTACTACCTGGATAAATTCAATCTGGTGAGAACATAGGAAATGAACCAGTCTGAATATGAACCATTTTGTGTGTAATAAATAGACACAATGTTATTTTTAATACACCATTACTGGCACCATTTCTTTGACAACGTCTAGAATCGAGTAAAATGTGCAGTCACGTGAGATTGCTTGAGAAATTTTGTATGTGAAATCAAACAGGGATTTAATGTGGATCAAATCCACAAAGTACTTCACAAATCAATTGAAAACTATAACCAAGCCATTTGATATTGCTAATGAATTTAATAATTATTTTGTAAATGTAGGAGCCAATCTAGCAAACAATATTAAAAGTAGGTGTGGATGTTGACATAATTAAATCAAATACAAGCTAAATGTTTCTAAAGCCAGTAGAAGAAAATGAACTAATACATACAATAAATAAATTTAAAAATAAAAAATCTACAGATTTTAATGATATAGACATGGCACTAGTTAAGGACGTTATGATATTTGTTGTAAAACCATTAACCTATATTTTCAACTTGTGTAAAATAGCTAAAGTCATCCCTATCTATAAAAATGGTGACAGCCATTCACTCTCAAACTATAGACCAATCTCCCTCCTTCCACAATTTTCAAAAATACTAGAAAAACTAATTGAAATAAGACTAGACAGTTTTATTAGAAAACAAACTATTAAACGATCATCAATATGGCTTCCAAGCAAATCGATCCACAGAAATGGCTGTAATAGAGCTGGTTGAAAAAATTACTCCATTGGAATTTTTATAGACTTGAAGAAAGCATTTAAAGCATTGATCACACAATATTGTTAAAAAAAAAACTTGAAAGATATGGCATCAGGGGCGTTGCACAAAGATGGATTGGTGACTATTTTAGGAATAGATTTCAGTTTGTTCAATTCACCAACGACAGTCACAGCTACAGAGAGTCACCTGTGGGGTTCCACAAGGATCAGTCCTTGGACCAAAGCTATTTTATTATACATCAATGACATTTGTAAGGTGTCTACACAATTAAATTGTGTCTTATTTGCAGATGACACAACTCTTATTTGTTCCAATCAAAATTTGGGACAGATTCTGGACACAGTGGAAGCAGAAATGAAAACAAAAAAAAATGGTTTGATGTTAATAAATTGTCATTAAATGTAAATAAAACTAAAATTATTTTATTTAGTAATAAAAAATAAATACAAATGCCCAGATTAGAATTGAAATGTCTGAATTAGAAATAGTAAGTGAGATTAAATTCTTAGGTGTCATTATTGACCACAAACTCAGTTGGAAATCCCACATAACCTACATAGTCAAAAATTTCAAAAACTCTGGCTATCCTGTCTAAACAACAATAAAACCAATTCTTATTCTGCAAAAACGTGCAATACCAATTATAAATAAAACCGATTATTATCACCCAACAAACGAGCTATTTATAAACTCCAACCTACTAAAATTGAATGACTTAGTGGAATTTAAAATAGCCAAAATAATGTTTAAAATAAATAATACATTTCCAGACTGTGTCCAAAACCGGTTTCAGATTAAATCTACTCCTTATGAGCTCAGAGGAACACTCATGTTCAGTAAACCACAGATTAGAACCAATGTCAAACAGAGATGTCTGTCTGTTCAGGGGATTAAACTGTGGAATAGTCTTGATGATGAACTAAAAACATGTAAATCCATTCGTAGCTTTAAAAAAAGATTACATTATACAAAGGTGAATGAATTTAGCTTCTTTTTCTTTTAGAAATTATTTAAGTATGCAAGATGACTTTGGTGTTGTGTGTTAAATAAATAAAATGTAAAAAGGATCGGTGTAATAAGCATAAGCTTCAGCCGACACCTTTTCGGTCAAGAAACTTTTTTTTACTATTGTTTCCATGTATGTTTGTAAATTATTTTTCTTTTTTGCCTTTTCTTTTGAAGTTGACCGAAATAAACTTAACTAACTAAGAAGTGGAAATATTTTTGATTTTATCTGTTTCAAGTTAAAAAAATGTGGTTTTGTATTTACTGAGTTGTCCAATAGAATTATTTCAATAGAAAGCTGCTTACAACAATATACAAGTAAAAACAAATTGGCTAGTCGCTGTCATTAACAGACTATGGACTGACTGTATTCTGCTGTGGGTAAATTCCTAAGTTGTTCATTTTTAAGTTACACATAAATGTGAAAGGTTATTTCTTATACACGTTTTTATTTAATACTGACACAAAATTGTGTGACTTTTCTATACATTCCTTCTAAGAGTGTAGGTTGTGAAGTACTATTAAACTGAGTATCATTTGCATCAGTGGAAAAAAAAGATAATGTTGCTCAGGGAAAGAATATACAAGGAGAAAAATCCAAAGGACATGTTACTGAGCCCTGTGGCACTCCATACTTGGGTTTGATGAGACGTCTCTTCATTTACAGAGACAAAATGGTAGCAGTCAAATAGATAGGACTTAACCCATGCCAATGCTTGTCCACAAATGGCAGTATACGGTTGAGAATACACTGTTTTTCTAATATTATAGACATAAAGACCTTTTTCGGTAGATTAGTGCAGTGTTTCCCAACCCTGTTCCTGGAGGCACACCAACACTACACATTTTCCAACTCTTCCTAATCGATCACACCTGAATCAACTCATCAGCTCGTTAGTAGAGACTCCAAGACCAGAAATATATAGGTCAGAAAAGGGAGACAATCAAAATGTGCACTGTTGGTGTGCCTCAAGGAGCAGGGTTGGGAAACACTGGCTTAGTGCATACGAGATCTAGCATACATGTTGATTTTGATGTTTGTTGATTTATACCATTAAACCGGGGTTAACTTTGTATTTCTCTTTTTTTTTTTTTACCCTAGACCTGATAACACTGAAAGATGAGAGTGGAGTACTAGATGAAATGGAAAAGAAAGATCAGTTTGAGAAACATCATGATTTCGTAACTGGAAAAAAATCATTTAGTTGCTTACAAACTGAAAATACTTCCCCTCAACAAAGATCTCAAAAGACAGAAACTACAAAATATTTCACTTGCCAACATTGTGGAAAGAGTTTCACTCAACATGGAAGTCTAACTGCCCACACGAGAATTCACACCGGAGAGAAGCCTTTCACCTGCAAACACTGTGGAAAGAGTTTCAATCAACGTCGCAATCTTTTAGTCCACATGAGAGTTCATAATGGAGAGAAGCCTTACACCTGCCAACAGTGTGGAAGGAGTTTCAATCAACTTGGAAACTTTAAAGTCCACATGAGAACTCACAATGGAGAGAAGCCTTACACATGTCAACAGTGTGGAAATAGTTTCACTCAAAAAGGAAGCCTTAAAAAGCACATGAGCATTCACACCGGAGAAAAGTCGTACACCTGCCAAGAGTGTGGAAAAGGTTTCACTCAGAAAGGAAGCTTTAACAGGCACATGAGAGTTCACACCGGAGAGAAGCCTTTCACCTGCCCTCAGTGTGGAAAGAGTTTCAGCCAAAAAGGACACCTCAAAGACCACATAAGAATTCACACTGATGCAAGTTCTTTCACCTGTCAACAGTGTGGAAAAAGTTTTAACAGAAAACACAGCCTCGAAGTCCACACGAGAGTTCACACCGAAGAGGGCTCTTTCACCTGCCAACAGTGTGGAAAAAGTTTTAACAGACGAAAATACTTTAACTCCCACATGAAAATTCACTCTGGAGAAAAGCCGTACTTATGCCAACAGTGTGGAATAAGCTTCAACCAAGTAGGAAACCTTAACAGGCACATGAAAATTCACACTGGAGAGAAGCCGTACACTTGCAAGCTGTGTGGACTAAGTTTCAACAATAAAGGGAGCCTTGAAAGTCACATAATAATTCATACGGGCGAGAAGCCTTACACATGCCCTCAATGTGGAAAATGTTTTGCACATAAACCGACTCTTAAAGTCCACATGAGAATTCACACTGGAGAGAAGCCGTACACATGCAAGGTGTGTGGAAAGAGTTTCACTGATAAAGGAAACCTCAAAGTGCATATGAGAGTTCACACCACAGAGAAGCCTTACACATGCAAACTGTGTGGAAAGAGTTTTACTCAAAAGGGAAACCTTAAAAAACACATTAGAGTTCACACCACAGAGAAGCCTTATACCTGCAAACTGTGTGGAAAGAGTTTTATAGGAGCACTAAACCTGAAACAACATTTGCAAACTCATTCCGGAAAGAAATTGAGTTCTGAATGTGGTGAAACATTTAGAAAAAGGAGTATTTTCAAAAATCATCCGTCTATTCACTCTGGAGGAAGGCCGTTTAAGTGTGATCAGTGTTATACATTTTTTTCTTTGCCTTTACACTTAAAGATACACCTGAAAAGTCATGCAGATGTGAAACCACATTCTTGCTCTTCGTGTGGAAAGAGTTTCAAATGGCTCAGCAATTTAAAATGGCACCAGAAAATACTCCTCTGTTTAAAATCAAGGCTGAATTCACAGCGCAGCTGAATGTGAGCCAAATCTGAACATTCATATTAAAGTGAGAGAATTAACTTGTCGAAGCAACAGAAGCAAACTATTTGTATGACCACTGATAACTTAATGCACATCATGTCTTTCCCTCCAGTTGCATTGCGTAATTAAGTCATGGAGGGCTCATGGTCAGCAGTTTTTGGTGCTCTCAGAGCAAAGGCACATGATGAAATGCATAAAAGTATCTGGGCAGCACCACATGACATCACCGTTTTCTCAGATTCTGTAGTGAAATTTCATAGTTTACACAGAGACGGTAACAATTTCATTTTTGATCTAGTCGTCTTCCGGTAAATCATGGTCATCTGCCATGTTCTCCAAAGGTTGCTGACTCTCAATTATACCTTGTCATTAAATCTTCCAACTGGTCAGTATCTTTATTTGCAGGTCCTCTTAAACCTCTCTTCGGGCATCATCTGAATTGAATAACTATTGTACCGTTGACACACATATTTCACAAAACAGTAAGGTAATACAGCTGATGATTCTTAACTGAAGTTGAATTGGTCTTGTGTGGTCATTTGCATTGAATTAATTACAAATAGATTTCTAGATTTTTATTTAGTTGTTTTCATAATAATAATTTTTCTGGACACTCAAAGCACTTTACATATGTAAGGGGGGAATCTCCTCAACCAACACCAATGTGCAGCACCACCTGGATGATGCGACGGGAGCCGTATTGCACCAGAACGCCCACCACACACCAGCTTATTGGTGGAGAGTAGACAGAGTGATGAAGCCAATCAGTATATATGGGGATGATTAGTGGTTCGACTGGTCGAGACTGTTTTCCAAAGATGGCTCCTGCCTGTATACGCGAAGTGGACTGTCTTTATAAAATATCTTCTTATTAAACTGTCTGTACACTTAGGCTACGTTCACACTGCCGGCTGAAACGACCCAATTCCGATTTTTTTGCCCCTATGCGACCTGTATCTGATCTTTTCATGACAGTCTGAACGACACAGATCCGATCTTCTCAAATGCGACCCAGGCCACTTGGGTATGTGGTCCAAATCCGATATGTATCCGATCTTTTGAAATGAGACTTAAATCTGAACGGCCAGGTCGCATGTATCCGACCCGCACGTCATTGATATGCACTGTTATGGGCCGCCGCAGACGTGTCTCTTCCAGAGAGTTGGCTCTTCCAACAGAGTTGATCGAAGACGCTCACAAATATAATCGAAAGTGGATCTGGTCATTCGGAAGTTACTGATGAATTCTGTATTTGTGAAGCCACTCAAATCAGTATCTCACCACTCCTGGCTGCGACTCCGCACCCACACGTTTCTCTGTACCGAAGTTGCTACCACTGCTCCACAAAACGCCATGGCCAAAAACCTTGCTCTCCTCCTTTTTAATTTTTTTCTTAAAACTAGAAGATTGTAAGTTTGTAAGTGTGCTGGCTCTGTTGGGAAAATAACCTCAATATCGCTAAACGAGCTCCACTGTTGACATCCATGTTTAGCTACTTCCGCAAACAACAAGTGACGTCGTTGACCGTTGAGTACTCTTCTGCGCATGCGGGTCATTTCTGGATCATGTCACGTTCACACAGGAGATCACAAAAGGTCGCATTTAATTGGAAATGTGAACGGCCTTGCAAAAAGATCGAATTTTTTCAAAAAATCGGAATTGAGCATTAAGCCCCTGCAGTGTGAACGAGGCCTTACAAAGTTCTCAATGCTTCAATTTGCAGCTAGGGACCCTCATTATGCTACTGTGTTACTGTTGGGCTATTTTGAGCCTTGTTATTGTTATTTTTCATTACTTTATGCCCTATACACTAGCGTTATAAGCTAAACAGTTTTTGGAGATGCAAATCTTTACATTCAATTATCATGAAAACAAATCTCAGAACGGTTGACTAGGTACTGTAAGACCGTAAAACTTGTTGAAGAGAAAATATCTGACCACATGGTCTATTGAGACAAAGGACCTTGGCAAATTAACATTTGGCTTCCCCCCTCTTCCCCGGAGACAAAGGTCTCACCTCGTCTGCATTTCGTTCTCTCACCCAGTGACAGCTAAAACTCACATAAGAGTATATATATGGTTTAATGTGAATGATTATTGTGTTTAGTATCATTTTAAAGGTCTCAGGGTGGCTGGTACATATGTCTCATTTCCAAATAAGTAAAACAAAAGGAAATAAGGGTTTTAAGAGTTTAGGAATAACTGGCACACACAGGAATGTGGTCTAGGCACTCCCAAAGGTGTAAATTCATGAATGCTAATTTCCACTGTTCTTAGCAAAATGGTTCCTTCTACCCCCAGTGAGTCTGGGGGGGGGGGGGGGGGGGGTGAACACAGTAAATTTCCACACAGTTGGCTCGAATTAGACGGACTTACAGTACCAATGTGTTATTAGAGCAAAGGTTCATTTTGCCCCAGAGTTGTCCTTTAATCAGGTCGAACAGAGGGGCATTTGCCTACATGCTAGCTTTTTTTTAATTATTATTAAATTCAACGTTTCCATTTATAGTGCAATTTGAAAAAGTCGGCAAGTCCGACATAGGGGCCTTTGAAGTAGGATCCACGATAGCTGGGTACTGCCCGTGATGGGCACTTGATGCAGACTGTACGTTGCTCCAGTCTCGTCTCTCACGGAGCCCAGTAAGCCCGCAGACTGCTCTCGCATTGATGGCTTGTCACCGACATTATTTGACGGATCTCCAGTCCAGCATCGGAGAGTCGACCTACAGCGGTGCTTCGGAGGCTGTGGTTAGTGTAGACCTTCGAAAGACCCACCTGAAAGTTAAATTGATGATAATAATTATAATTATAATAAAGGTAGGTCTACTAGGCCTAATAATACATTTATATTGACATAAAGTGTAATTACTTCTTCGCTGATCTTTTTCATCATGTTCCTGAGGTAGTGGATACCCATCAGTTCCCGGCTGTACCACACTTCGGAAGCGTATGTCACGGTGCGCTTCGGATGGTGGTAGAAAGCCTTTGCGTCAGATGGACATTTGGACACAAAGGACTTGAAACTTTTTACCGGACACATCAGATCCCCGGGTCTGCCAAACATAAAACCTCTGAAGTTTTCCTTATCTGGGTCATTCGGATCTTTGTGGTTTTTGGTGTGCGGATTGTAAGCCAGGGTGACAAACTCAACCCCGTCCTCGTCTCTCCGGACTTTAAAAGATTGCATGCAGAGCTCCCGGTTGCCCTCCCTGCCACGCCGAGCCAAACACAGTTGGATGTCAAACCAGACTTTTCTGACCAGGCCAAGGGGTGTATCGGGAGACAGTACAGCTGAATTTTTTATGATTTCAAGATCAGACTCAGAAATACGTGGATGGTGAACGCTGGTATCTTTGCCGCTTTTCCGGTAACGCTTAATTATTGCTTTAAACACAGCATTACAGGTCATGAATCTGGTGTCAGTTATAATACTGAATTCCGTTAAATGACGGTTGATACCGGCTCTCAGACTCCTTAGGCTTAAAACGCTGTACTCTCCTCCTGCCTTGGTTGACTGGACAGCTGCGTAAAACTCCCGCAGGGTCTCATTCAGAGCATCGGTGGTGTATTTTTCAAAGCTGATTCCATTCCTTTTTAACAATAAAGTCTCTGAGTGTAGTTAGTTACCATTTCATTTTTTTTTTTGTGTTGATCTCATCTTTTTCGTCTTCTATTCGATGAAATTTTTCCGGTGTTTTCTCCTTGTGTCGTTTCTCCGTTTTATTTACAATTTTTCTTTCTTCAGCAGCATCCCAGTTGTCAAATTCTCCAAAAAGCTTCAAAGAAATAGTCGCTCATTGTTGTATTAGTAGGCTATGTATAACGGCTAACTAGATGTTTGTTTTCATACAATAAATTGTAAACAGATACTTTGACTGCCTGTTGCTATGGTTACTCACAGCTGATGTAGCCAGCGCATCTATGTAATAATTTCGAACGGTAAACAGTCAGTTTCACCAGAACTCCTTTACTAGGTGTCCTCTATCACTTTTTAATGGACACCCTGCAGCCAATCAGAATCAAGTATTCACCCAGACCATGGTATAAGCTTTATTATTTGCTCATCTGCATTATATCTGTTTTTTATTTGTTGAACATTAATTACATTTTTACCCTTGGACGGGTTTAAACGTTTTTTTGCATTTCCTAACTCGGGGAACATACACAGTGATGATATGATGATATCAGGTAAAAAGAGGCTCTATGTGATGGGCTTTATCTGACCTTGGTGACATGAGATGGCAGACGGTCAGTTTAGCCAGTCTGTCTGCTTTCTTTCTTAAGAATAATAATCTTAGAGAATTTACAATTAGCATTAGCCAGTAGTGATGCGCGGGTCAGCTTTTTTTCCAACCCGCGGGTCCCGCTTTTATGAAATTATTTGGCCCGCCCCAGCCCGCACCGCACCACTGTATCTATTTTTACAACCCGCCCCGCCCCGCACCCGCGACCGTTAAATAGACATACTACTAGGCATTGTAATGTAAATGAAAACAGCCTTTATTTCAGCCTGAAAGTGCTTGGAAACATCGCCCTGTAAACTGGCAACAAGAGACGATTATGAATATGAATCATATATCGGGTCACATGATACTTAAACATTTTCAACATTTACAAAGCAGCGTTTGTATTCATCTAATAGGCTAAACCATTTTTTATTTCTTAGACCCCCCACAAATATGTCTTGACATGCTTGAAGTGCCCGTTTTGTGGCGCTACTGTTTGTATATTTTTCACACGAGTTGCACTTCAGGTAGCAGCTAGCCGATTTAGCTACTGTTGTCTCCTGCTGCAACTATTTCTGAGAACAGCTCCCAAACATTAGATTTAGCAGCCTAACCTTATTTTTCTTTTCACTTTTATTTCTCCGTTGTTGTTGTTATCGTGGCTGGCGGCGGGAGCTGCTTGGCGCGCCGCTTTCGTGACGTGTCACGTGACGCCAAAGGTTTATAGACCTCACGCAGGTTAAGTTGCTACGGCAGTCGTATTGTAACC